GGGTTCGCAGAATATTGTTGCAGACACCTTGTCTCGTATTGAAGAACTAGCCGTTCCTTCGCCAATAAACTTTGCTGCCCTTGCGGATGAACAATACCGGGATTCAGAATTACAAACCCCTCTTGAAAAGCAAATCTTCCACCAATGTCAACTTGCAGCCTATGCAGCTGTCACTTGGAAAATCACTTTATTGTAATGTTCAGGATTCAAGATTTCAACCTTATGTTCCCTCCGGGTTTCGCCATACCATTTTTAGTCTGTTACATCGTGGCATCAAGGCTTCAAGGAAACTGATACACAGCAACGTTTCGTATGGTGTAGGACGCAAAAGGACATAGCCAACTGGACACGTTCGTGCTTGGAGTGTCAAAGATCTAAAATTGTCAGACACACCACCAGCTAACTTAAAAATTTTAATTTGCCCTCATCTCACTTCAATCACGTGCACCTCGACTTGGTCGGGCACTTATATTTATTAATAATAATATAATACATGAATACAATTAATTACTATGTATACATTTTTCTTACCTTGTATGAAGGAAATTTATCATTTACTTCATCGAAGTCGATCCTTTCAAATTTTTCTCTTTGCACACTTAAATGCTAGATGACTTAAAGAATCTTGTCCCATCGTTGATTGTAAATATTGAAAATTTATTTTAATTTGCTGAACGAATATTCATAGCAAGCATTTGATAATGAAATAGTAAGGAGTATTTGAAGTGCGACTCTTAGGTTTTGAAAAACATTTCCTCTATAGATCTGCAGTGGAATTTTAGGTTCCGTTTCTTTTCTACTGCGGAGTAATATCATGCAGTCACATTCACTGCTCAAAGGAATTAGGGGATATTGTGGGTTCGGTATGAAATAACCATATAATCGACAACCTATTTGAACAAAAGGGAATAGAAGAGATTATAAAGGAAAATTATAACGTTTACAAAGTTGGGAATATGCAAATTTAGTCTGTGATGTCGAAAACTATGAGTTTAAAATAAGAAGTGAAAAGCGACCTGCAGCATTCCTTTTGTAATAGGAGATTAAAAAAATTGACATGTGCTGAATGCTTCGTAGCAGTGAATATATGCAGTGTCTCAGCACGATGACTTAGTCGAATCGGTAGCCAAGAAGGCTATCAGTCGTTTACAGGAGAGTCAAACGCAATCCATTATAGCGGAAGCGTTAGGATTTCCCCAAAATGTCATTTCCAGGTTATGGAATTCAATTTTGAAAACTAAATATGTTTGAGAAATTCCGGACAAGGTTGTGTTATCGTTTTAAAATAAAAGGCAGGAGATATACATGCATTTCATTTAAAAAAATGAAAATATATCTCTACTTTGGAGAAATAAAGTGGTTAGAAAGAACGTTTTGGTTGATGTACTGCAAACATTTTATTACATATTTTATCAGGCAAATCAAGAAAATAAATAGTCAATTATATTACAGTAGTTATTAATTTTAAATATATTTTACAGAAATCGATCAAAATAAAAACTGAAAGTTTCAGAAAAATCTTATTTGGAGACCATTTGGCATATTTTATCTTTTGCCCCGGGCATCATGCACCCCTTTGCCCCCCTCGCTACGCCACTGGGTGGCATAACAATTAAAATTTGTCTGCCGCTTAAATAATCTGGTAAGGAAACAGAAAGGGGGTGACAGTAAAGATCTAAATCGTAAGGGAACCTTACCTTATTTCGGCAACACATTTATTCCTGAAATATGGAACGAGTCCAGATAAAAAGCCCTGTTCTTAAATTATGCAATATTTGTATTGATTAAATTCAGTTTTTCTTTAAAATAGTATACTATAAGAGTCAAATACTTTTAAAAAGGTTACATGTTCAAATCACATCCAGATCACAATGTGTGTTTCAGAAGTGTCTTGGTATTAGTCCTTAGTTATAACTCCATGTTGCTAAAACGATCAACCTTATTAACACATCTTATTCCTAAAAATACAGAAGATACTACATGGTACTGGAAACTTTTAGAACAGATATCAACTGGTGGCATGTCGTAGTGGTACGAAATAAATCAAGGTATTAGATATTATAAGTTCTTTCACTTTTAAAGGTATTAGATATTATAAATTCTTTCACTCTATTAGTTATTCTAAAATCACAAGAAAAATTCCCATGAAACATGGAAAATCAATTATGTGAATATTTTACACAGCCATATTTACTTAAGATGCTTTTAATAAAGTCTGGACCTCACTGAACATATATGCTCACAAAGTATCAGTCAAGGATTTAACAAGATTTCAAATGAACAGCTATCAATGAAACTAAGATTATCTATAAAAACAATCATAAATGGTTCAGACTGGTGCTCTTCCTGGAAAGCAATATCTTATATGACAATGTTAGAAACAGTCAAACGGTATATTCATCAAACATTTAAAGAATATTTAACAGAACAAGACTTCAATCTAATCAGTATTTAGCCGTGGAGAAAAGCAGACCAGTGGCCAAGCCTGTTGAATGCTGGTAGTTCAATTCCAGTTTGAATCACTATGCTCTCTGCATTTGTGTTTTCAAGGTTTCTCTCTAAAGTTCCAGTTTAAAGACATCCCTTGCCTTTGGTATTGTATAATCAGGATAATACCATGACAGTCTGTATTTCAGAATGCCAAGTCTCATAAGTAAGAGATATTAGGTTATTTCGAAGAAAGAGACATGAAAAATGTTCAATGCCCTTTCCCAGGACTCTGACTTCTTGAATATGCGCTAAGCGTGCTGACTTATACAACACAAAGGCATGCTAAAAAGGTGGCAGAAATACCTTTTAACTTTTAAAAACATCCACATCTGTGTCCCGTATCATTTAGCCTATTCCTTTAATGCAAAGTCTGTATAATGCCTCCCTGGAAGGGATGAATTCTGATCAGCTTGTATACACATTAGGATGTCATGAAAATGCCTTTCTATGCAGCCTGGAATAGCCAGGTCAAACTACCAGTATTTTACCACTCGAATGCTGGTGGGCCAAATGTTTACAAACAAGTTTGTAGACGTTTTATTAAGGTTGCATCAATGTGTATGCATTATGAAGTCCAGTAGACTACTTTAATACCTTATGCTGGTCTTAACTTGTGAATTTTGATGGTTCTGCCAATAAAATTGCAATTCCTGACACTCTTATGTTTGAAAATAACTAGCAGTTATTTTCAGTATCATGGCTCTTCCAGAAGAAATTTCTAAATTCTTGCAAACTGCTGAAATGTATACACTCCTGAACAGACTGAATAGCATGATCACTTTTAATACAGGCACCATAAGAATTTTCTCATTCAAGGACATTCACCTGATGAATTCTGCAAGATAAGACTAATGGCAGTGAAGTGTTCCTTGTTGATTTTTATTCTACTACTTTGTGAAGTGTTACATTCTTCCAACATTTAGAAGGAAAGTAGCTGCTGTTAGATCAACAAAATGAAATTCATGATTTAAAATAAAACGTCTCCAGCCTGCTTTTTCCAGTTCCTCTATTTTATATGCTCGCCAATACTCTGAATAAATCATCGATCTGTTGACAATTTTTGCCAAACATGGCTGCTTCTCTATTCAGGTGAGCAAGAAAGCATTCAGTTTCTTTGCATAATCCATTAAATATTAAGTATTGTGGGAAAATATTTCCCAAATACAAGAAGATTCTTGTTTACGTCCACAATATTTTCAGAGCCACCCATTGGCTTTAGTTGCCAGTTTACTTCTCACAAAACTGTTTCCATCAGTAGTTATATTTTCATAAAGGTTATGCTGCTTCTCCCACCAACCACTTTATCTATGCCAATGCGTCAGTTCAACAGTGAATAAATCACTGCGCTGTTATAAATATTCTGAAACAGTTGTCAAAATGTATGCTTTTTCTTCACCTTTCATTTTTTTCTCATTGCACCTCCAAACACTTTCATAGTTAATGGGCATTTTCAAGTTTGACCAAAATAAATAAAATGTGTTTTGTGACGAGAATATATACCTGCATACTAAAATATGTCAAAGAAATTAAGGTGTTCTCCCACTTCGATTTTCAGCATAATTTTTCTTGTTAAATTTTAGTTGACCTGAATTCTCTCAATCTACTGTAGACATCTGCACAGTTTTTTTTATAAAAATTCAACCAATGTTTATTTAATTAATAATTGTATTTAATTTTGCTTTGCATTAATAAATAACATATTATTAAGTTTATCTACACAATAATGTGCATATCAGTTATAAATTTTATTTTCATTGAATTTAAAAGTTATGATAAATAAAAGCTTTTCTAACCTACTTCGGGATTTTCTCAAGATAAAAAATGAAAGAAAATTACAAAATTAGCCAAAGGATAAAATTTAAAATAATTAAATATTGATATATTTTATATTAAAAGCATATTATAAATAATTTAATAAACATAACCATGCATTATAAAGTGAATTTGAAATTCCTTTCAAGAAGTATCACTCCTTGAAACTCCTGTCTTAAATATGCCAAGGTCAGCAGTTTTGCTTGTGATAAAAGAGATGGGCATTTTTATAGAAAACTTAGGAATGCTGGTAATGTTACATATTAGATTAATTGTAAAAATCTTATGCAGCCATGTTATTCTTTTACTTAGAGGTGAATACAGGATAAATTATCAACATTTTACGACTGTAGTCATTGGTAAGCCAAATTGCATTATATATATGAATTAAAGTATATCATTTTCATAATTGAGCAGAAAGTACAATAGTTACTTGCATGTTAAGTAACACTTGGTTTCTGAAGGATATGCTGGATCTTTTTCTTTGACACAATTATGAACATACTGATCAGTTTCCAAAATTTCCTCATATTTTGCTTCTAGTTAAAAATAGTTCCCTAATGTACTTAAAGTTCTTTATTAACTAGTAATGAATTCAAAATTGACACTGATAGGCACATACATGGGATACAGCAATTTTTTTATCATTTTTAATAAAATATGCAATTTTATTATGTGAAATTCATGTTAAAACAACAAAGATTTTGAATTAGACTTTATTGTTAAAACAAGTACTGTTTACTGTACTTACAATGAAACATGGCTGAAATTCAACCAAAGGACAGTGTAAAAAAGAGATTCTTTTTGAAGTGAACAGAATAGCCATGTATATAATAAATAAAATGATACATAAAGCAAGACAACTACAAATATGCAGAATGAATGCTTTCTTCGCTGTACAAAATTTAAAGAACCAGCACAATGTTTACATTTACTATACAAAACTAACAGCCCTGTACCTATGGAAGTCTTCGTGAGGATATGAATTCTAGTGATAATGCAGATATGATCATTTAAAAAGATGAAAAATATACAAAATGAATTAAAAATTTAATATTAGACAAACTTAATTATATGAAGATAACTTAAGATTCAGTGAGCCAAAACATGATTAAAGAAAATTTTTTTAATATGATTACGTTCCAGTAAGTTTAATCCATGAAAGTTTTCATGACAGTAAAATTAACTTTTTAAAAAAGAGTGCACATTCTCATACAGTTTTCATTCTATTCACACAAACATGGTATTAATGAAAGCATTACTCACAAAATCATTATATACAATCTTCTGCAGGGGAAAATTATTAAATGCAAATTTTTGCCAGTAATTATCCTTGGTTTCATTGAGCACCTATTTATACATATAATCAACCTTTATTTCAGATCTGAAAATGATTAATTAATCTCGTTAAAATAGAAAATTAAATGCACCTCAGATTGTGACATATAGATTTTAATTTTTAGTCTGGCAGCATATCAGAAAATTATCAATTTGCTTTGTCAAATGTTTAAAATATCCTGCCAACCCCCCCCCCACAACCATTTTTAAAAAGGTGCGCAGATGTGAGTTAAAATAGATTAAAATAAATTAATATTTACAATCTTTTATCAAAGATTCATTTAAGAGTATCTGAAAATATTAATATAAAAACGATTTTTTTTTTTTTTTTTTTTTTTTTTTTTTTTTTACATTTTAACTTCAAATAAGTATTATCAAAAAACTTAGTAATTAAGAGTATATACTTTTCCTTGATAAAAACAAATCTTCACATGCAAAAAAAAAAAAAAAAAAAAAAAAAAAAAGGTGACATACTTATTCATAGCTGCAATTGCCTAGCTGCCAGTTGTCAAAATATGCATGCTTTTAAAAAAATTCCTTTAAGCTGAGATTCATATTTTTGTCCAGTGACATAATTAAACATATATTAAAAGATTGCATTTCTAATTACATAATTTTGTTGTGGATTACATTTCTAATTACATAATTTTGTTGTCTAAATAAATGATAGATCAAATAATAAATGTCGTTTACTAGCACATAATGCATTTTCTCCCTATAATACTCATTTTACATTTTGTATTTCACATAAACGCAACACAACTACTTAAAAAAAATAATTAAAAAACGAGTAATCCATTAAAACAAAACAGACAGTAATACTTGATTTTATAAAGAACGAGGGAAAAAATAAATTCATATTAAAAACCTAAACACAAAATCACATACAAAAAAAAAAAAAAAAAAAAAAAAATGATTTTAGAATACTGAAGAATACTAAAAATAAAATTGCCAGATCTTTGATTTCTAGGCACTTAAAAATCATTTTAAAGACTAAACACATATGAATGATGCAAAAACACTGGCTTAGAAAAGGCCACATAACAATGAAACGTGACTAGAAATAAAATGCAGGTGTATAATGAAAAGCTTAAAGATTACGTTACTTATAAAATAAAAAAAAAAAAAGCTAAGAACCACAGAAAATTGTAGATGAAGAAATTTGTTCCAGCTGTAACTGTTTCTTGTATAAATCAAATGTTGTTTGAAGTCATGGCATGTCTCTTTTTGTCACAAACTGAGGATAATAAATAAAAACTCAATGCAAAAATGTGCGTCAGTTCTGCCTTCAATGAAAAAAGTCTTTTCTTGTGCTCTCAGCAATTTGCAGCAATTCATGTGCATCAGAGCACCCACTTTGATGAAGGGACTCCTCTAACATAGCCTACACTAATATGGAGTGAATCGGGTCCTGTAGACAGCAGCCTAGATGTAAAACAAATTTCATGTAATGAAATAGCACAAAGAAAAAATATTAGATACTGAAATTACTTTGAAAATAATTATGCTTTTATACTTCCCAAATTTCATCTACATACTTAACTAACATATCTGATTAAGTTACAATAATCTCAGTCAAGATGCTAAGCTTTCAAATTTATTCCAAAAAATAGCTCAACTCTGGTCATATGGTTTAGCGCATTCCTGCATTTCAATGAATAGCTTTAGTTCTCCCATTCTATATATAATCATTATTATTCAATTTACATGCAATACATAACCATTTAAATTCCATATACTCAATTTCCAAAAATGACTGGGGCCATTTATTGTGCTCATTGAGTGAGGAAATTATGAATTGGGTTCGTACCTTAAGCAGCTATACTTTAAGGCAAAATTAATGTCCAAAAAAAGGTTAAAAAATATAAATATTTTCTCAAAAATAAAAACTAAATGCTATCTTATCTTTCAAAGCACTTGGTGGAAGGGTGCATTGCAAAATTCACACATACACTGCATATTTTCTTGATGAACAACACACAACATCACAAATTATTTTTTACTTTTTATAGTTCCCATGATGTATTATAATGTACGTTTTTTGTGTCCATGGAAAATCTTCCTGAAGAAATGTACTATATTGCTTTTTCTTTTTCCTAATACTGGGATATTCATTTTATATAGCCTTGATGGATGGCTGAAAGTGGCAGGCATATTGCCCTATTGACAAAAAGAAACTACGCATCACAGCTCAGTTGGTGGTGAATTAGTTTCGTGTTACAAGACAGCAGATCTTCTTGAAAACTATAGCCAGACATTTGGTGGGACGATTATAAGCCCACAGATCTGTTGTGCGTCCTATTTTTCAAACAGTTTCATACTGCCCACCTACAACAATGTCGTGAACATCGCGATTGGCCTGAACAGGACTCGGCTTACATACTATTCTCATACAACAATAGCTTGAATATTTCATTGCCTTGTAGATCCCAATTCATATAGAATGAGAGTAGTACTGCTTATTGTCCAAAAAATATCCAGGAACAGGCCTAATATGCAAGATGCAGTATCCCAGCATGGGTCAGCATCATGATCAATGACCACATGCCCCTATATATGTTTGAAACTAGAACTACGACCAGCCAATAATACTTTTATGTGGTTTTACTGCCACATGTTTGCCTTTTCTGCAATGCTTTTGGTGATACATTTGATATGTTAGTATATAGACTATCTGGAATGTTCTCAGTATTAACTGAGTGGCCTAAAAATACTTCCAAGACTGGTAAATTGTCTACTAATGACCATTCTTCAGAACTAGAATCTCTGAACCCAAGCTTGGTAAGCTCATTCTCACAGTAATAATTCGACACATTCTAACTTATCATGGTTCATTTTTAAGAATTTACAAGGAAAAAAATTACTTTGTAACTAAAATTTAAAAAAAAAAAAAAAACCACCACCACAAATAATCTGCCAATTATTTGTAAAAAACAAACTTTGCCTTCTACCGCACTTTAATAACAATCTGCACAAAACAAATTTAGTTGTTTCCTGTACTTTAATAAATATATACACTAAATTAATTTAGTCATTTCCCACTTGATATGTTTTAAGATCTCTCCGGGCTGGCTAACTGTGGTGGACAACCAAAACTTTCTGAAAATTTCCTTTTCTTATGCTTGGGGTAGCTGAGAAATCCCATATTCACAGCATAAGATTGAGATCAAGTTTAATTCGATTCCCTAAAAATGAGGCTGTCTTCTGATAAACCTCTTCATCTCATGTAATTAGGAGTAGACTTCTCATTGTTGTTTTCACTATTAGAAACGGCACAAAACTGAGTTAAATTCAATTATTGATATTGCAAAGAACACACCTATTTCTGCCCTTAAAGAAAACATAAACTATATAAAATTCCACATAGATGATATAGAACATGATGTTCAACATCATGTGAAAAGGCTTTGAAATTAAGTCAAATGTCATTGAACGAAGCCTAAATCCTGTCTGCAGGTTTATAAGGAAAGCATGTTAAAATTCCAACATAATTATTAGAATTCCAACATAATATAAGAAATGATAAAGAAAGTTAAAACATAATTTGCATATTGCATTCAAAAAGCAGGTGAAAAATTTATGGCATTTTTATTTTAAAAACGGAAAGACTTTTGAAAAGAAGTGGATAGTATTCAATTACCCATGCAGAAAATCACAAGAACCCCCATTGTGCCACTTTGTTTGCAATGATTTGAACCTTTATCGAACTAGATGTGGTCAGTGTTTTTCTCTATCAGTCGCTCTTACCTTTGAACTTTGGAAATTTATTTCAATTCTTCAACTGCAGATGGACACATTATTAATTTGATCACTTGTTTTATTGTATTTCATCTTCTGCACTTCTTACTCAACCCATAATCAAGCTTATTATGTAAAACATATACTATTTGTAACACATTAAAATTGCTAAAATATGAGACACCCTCCAACAGAAAATTGACTTCCAGTATTTCTTGTATTTTCACCTAAATTTTTCAAAGATTACATTTTTCTAGATTAGTAGATTCACACACTGTATGTATATATATATATATATATATATATATTGCTTCAAAAGAATAAAGTAAAGTTAAATTTAATTTTAAATAATTCTCTTGCACCATTGCTGCAAAGAATGAAATTTGAATTTAACAAACATTCTCTATTCGTAAACAGCAAATTAAAATTAATAAATTTAAATGAAATTTAATGCAAATAAATAAACGATTAATTGTTGTTGCGAACTAATCTACAATATCATTTTAACTCTGAGAGCATATGTAAATCAAGTGCAAGTTTCAAAATCCATTAATATAAAATTCCACAAATTATTTAATCCTAAAAAATTTATTTATAAAAATGAATAAGTGAATGATTGTTGACCAGACAGGAGACAGATTTATCAAGGGGAAGTTGCCTCCAAACCTAACTCTTCAATCATTCTTGTTTCATCATCCATGTAGGCGAGGGTAAAAGTGAAAACCAAAAGTAATACCAAATGTGGTGAATTATTAAAAAGAAATTTAAACAAGTGGAATTTTGAGAAATTAGCAATTAAAAGACCAGAATTAAAATTAAAAAATAATAAATAAGAGTAAAAAACCAAATTTTCAGAATACCAAAGTAATTTAGAAACTCTTGCCTACAGAAATTTCCCTGACATGAATTATGCATATAAATCAAAAAGGCATTAGACATTATCTATAGAAATAATAAATTATACTTAAATAATACTAAAAAGGCATGTAAATAGTAAGTTTTAATTCCAACTATATTTGTTTTTGGAGAGTGGAGAAGCATTGCCAAACTAAGTGATGATAAGTTGTGTGTTCTGCAAACTTTAAATAGAGTGCACTAATGTAAGGTTGAGTGTAAAGCATATCTGTGATCAATTAAAAAAAAAAACCTATTCTGTAAACTTTAAAGTAATGTAAAATATGTGTTCTGTTGTAAAAATGTGTAAAAAAATTGTAAAATGCAAACTGTAACGTTATGTGAAAAAAATGTTGCAAACTATTAAGGATGTAAAAATTGAAAATGTTTTTGAAAAAAAGGTACGAATAAAATTATTTTGAAGTAAAATTTAATTTTAATTTAGATTTAAAAATTTTTTAAATGTTATATTTAAAGAAAGAAATTTATTGTAATATTCTAAATTTATTAAAACTGGACTTCAATATACATATTCACTGTATATATATATATGCAGGGCGTCCCATAAATCTGCAAATATTTTTTAAATTGAAGGAACTGGTAGAACTGAACGTAGTTTGCAAAAAAGTTATTCACATGAAAGGAGATTTCGGGAGGAAGAGGGGGGTTACCTCAGCCAAGAATCTGTGACTGAAGCTTTATGAAGATTTTGGACACAGAAGGGATGGAAGAAAGGTTCAGGTAAAATCACTCTTGACGGACTGACCTCCCAAGTATGACATTTCAAAGAAATGGAAAGTTTTGTGTCATTACCATCATAGTAGTGCACCAAGTTTATCATTGGTCCGTACTTCCGATGTGGCTTCACAGATTGGCACTCAAAGGGAACAATCAAGGAATGTAGTAAATAGCACACAAGAAGTGGCACAGAACACTGGTACACAAAAGACACTGGTATTCCGAATCCTACAATGTTTTAAAATTGCACCCCTACAATCTGCAATCAGTCCACCAGCTTTTATCAAACGACAAAGCTAATAATATAAAGCTAATGATATAAATTCGCAAACTGGGTTTTGTTGAAAATCAATGACGATTCACTATGATTCCCTATTAAAAATGAGCCTCATCCAGGCTCATTTTTCATTGCATGTAACAGTGAACACCCAAAACTGTAGAATCTGGCCAAAGGAGAACACATGTGCCTATACTGAGGAGACTCTACATTCACCGCACTTAACTATTTGGTGTGGTTTCACTGTGTCCATTATTGTGGGCCCTTCTTTCTTTGAAGAACTCTGTGCAAAACCTTGCTGAAACTGGAAATTACCGCTCAATTACTGGAAAATGTTACTTGCAACAGCTGCAGGTACAGGAACATAATTCCTTGACACAGTGATATTCATGCATGATGGCGCACCTCCTCCTGTCACAGCCAAAATGAAGTCGTTCTTAAGAAGAGCTTTGAAAAACGATTCTTTAGCTCTCACTGTAGAAATGAGTGGCTTCCCTCGCTCCCCGAATTCAACACTACTGGATTTTTGGCTTTTGGGTTACGTCAAGCCCAGAGTGCATTCATATTCTCACAATAGCCAATCTTCTTTGGTGTAATTAAAGGGTGCCATTTGTCACAAAATCTCTTGCATCCTGCTGGATATGCTACATGAAGTTAAAGGCATTGTGACTCACTTTCAAACTGTAATTTGCAGTGATGGCAGACACAAAGAGTGATATGCTCATAAGCTCTTGCCTGCATGCAAATAAATATAGTTTTCCTCAAAACGTGTGACTTGCTCTCATACAGTGCCCTCTACCAATGAAAATGTTACTCCTTTTTTCCCCCCCTTTACCAGGGGAAAAAAAAAATCCGTTCACGAGAATAACATTTTTGTAAACTGCATTCAATCCCTGGTAGCAGACTGCTACCAAATCCTGCAATTTTTATGATTTTTTTTAGATATTTACAAATTTATTGAACAGCTTGTACACATGTATGTATATCTGTATATATATTTAAAAAAACTAAGAGTTTAAGATTGGATTTTTTGGGGGGATGAGGCTAGGGAACCTATTGTTATATGCTTCATATAATAAGCAATGTCTTTTGCCCTTCCTCTAGTAATGATCACGAAAATGAATTCATGAAATTTCTATTCAGAATGTAATTTCTAGATTTTTGTATTTTAATTACACTTTCTCTTTCTTATTCTTTAATTTAATCAATTTTTATCTAGTTTATTTTCGAAGAATGACTTTGGAAACCGTGGAATGTGAATGTGGGTTATGCAAAGCATAGATTGAGAACCACTGTAATAGTGGTATACACTCAATAATAGCTTGAAAAAAGAGAGTTAACTTTACCCCATATCCAGCAACAGGTCCTATGCTATGAGCCAAATACGGATCAGCATATTCTCTGGCATAACTATAATATAACGATGGAGTGCTAAAAGAAGAAAATAAAATTTTTTAATAATTTCAAATATGTACAAATTAGATATAAGCAAGAATAACAAATCATTCCCTTTTTAACTCACCCTGCTACAGCTGCATATGACGCTACAGGCTGGGCAGCAGCTGCGGCTGCTGCTGCCGCATAACTTCGGGCTGCTGCTGCAGTATAAGCTGCACTAGCTGCATATGTAGCCTGTAATATTTTAATTACAAAAAATTAAAATACTACATCATATATATATATATATATATGTCAATTCAATAAGTGTGAATTTATAATATGACACACTTAATATTCACAGAGTTATAAGTATTTTTTACTTAATTTTTGATCATATTCAAAGCTGCAGTATGATTAGAAAATTAGTCACTCAATTTAGCAATAAATAAGTATTAAACTACTTACATAATATTTAATTATTTTCCACAGAATAGAATAAAATTTCATTAAAAAGAAAGTTAAAAGTTCAGTAAGATACACAAAACTATCAAGAATTTAACTTACAGGTAACTGATATCTCTCAGCTCCAGCATATGCAAGAAATGGATCTTGGCATACCCTAGAAAAAAGACTGAAAGTCATAATGAGTTTTTATACATTCTGTGTTAATATAATTAAAAATAAAATATGTTGTTAAAAACATAAAAAAGTAAGCAGTTCTAAAATGCACAATTTAACTAAAAAGGGCAATCTTTTCGCAATGACATCTAAAAGAATGCTAATGTCTACATTCCTGAATAAAAAATGAATTTTAAATTTTACCGCATAAAAACAAAGCAAAACTACTGAGTGAATCTCTTGCAATTAACAATACAATTACTTCTTACATTTGGAGTTTTAGCGATGGTAGAATATTACATATTCTGGATTACCAAATTAAATAATATAATAACGGAAAATTATTTTTGGAGGCACTTTTTAATATTCCAAAAGAGGAAAAAATTGCAGAATAATTCTAAAAATATATTTAATAAATAAAACTTGGTAAAAAATACATTTACATATAATTTACTTATATTTAATCAGGCTTTCCTTTGAAGTTATCAATACTGTCAGTGCACGAAGGCTTTTCAAATAAAATTCGAATATCTGCTACTTGCTTTATGGATTTCACGCTAAAAGAAAATGAGGGAATGCAGAATGAAAATTTTATCATGTATGTATTGATGCTTCACCAGCTTCACACAATGTAATCTTGGTTAAGTCTTCTTAGTCAGTCTGCAATGCTCTTGCTACTTTTAAGCAGAAAGCTATAGCTTTTAACTAAGCCACTTTAATTATAAATGTCATTATTTAACTCAATTCATTCAGTAATTTTGTTTCTTAAAAACATGATCTATAGCTTGTTCAAAGGAAGATTTTCAACTGTTTCAAGTAACTCAAACTGTTCTAACTGGGTCATCAATATTTTTGACTTTTTTGTGAAAATTTTAATTCATTGTATTTCATGTATTTGTTTTATGACATTACCATTTTTGCTCAGCTTTTTGTAACATTGTGTAGTTCACATGCTTTACAGCAGCTGTAAAAATTACATCCTCTGTACAGCAATCCTTGCTGCTGCAATCTTGAATTTAATATATTACACAAATAAATTCCTATGTTTACATTTAAAATTTTGAATAACTGCTTGGCTTAATTTTATCCAGCGTCTGGTAAATTGTTAAAATTTCTTTTCTATTTCATACCCTTATCAACAAAAGTTTTTAGATCATCCTAAATGTATAAAGAAAGCAAACAACATAGAAATCCGAAGTTCTAAACAACAGACTTAACTGAAACTGGGGGGGGGGGGAATACAATCATTGTTTATTAAAAATTTATAAACACAATGTCTTTCTGAATATTATGGAATGAAAATGTAGTAGCATCATCTTTCAGGAATGTCAATGAAAGGTGCTGCATTATTGGACGAGTCAAACCACTGGATGCTAGACAATTTTACTGTAACTGTAGGAAGTATGATAGAATTAGGAAGCTGAAAGTTTGCTTATATTTTAGTATGCATGTAAAATAACTGCACTACGGTTAATTAAATATGGCAAAGCAGGAGAAGCATAACTGCTTACAGAAATGACAACTTTGTACCGACTAATATTTATAGCACACTAGTACTGGATTATTTAATTTAGGCACATAGGAAGTATCTTCTACACTCCATCAAGTTTTGGCCTATACCATATTGTTAAGAATTTTGTATTTAGATAGGTAGCTTTAGAAAAAATATGATTAAAATTGTTGTATTTTTCTGTATAATGAAACGCGAGACAAATTTTTAGGTGAAAGCTATGCCGGAAAAGTAAGAATACAGAGGTATGTGCATTTCACACTGAGTAAATGGTTATCTCGGCAATTTGTACTGAAAATGTAACTGACCACTATGTTAGCTCTAACCATTATTCCAAGCTCGTATTGCTTAACTGACCACTATGTTAGCTCTAACCATTATTCCAAGCTCGTATTGCTTTCCAGTAATTTCGAGAAGCAGAAAGTACGAGAAATATGAAAGTACGAGAAATATCTTGTGACCAGTTGAAAACTGTTTAAGGCTGAAGAGAGAGCATCTGCTCTCAGTTATTTAGTTAGTTGCTGTTGTTATTGTTGCGAGTTCACTGTGAAATCAGATTAGCTTTCTCTTTAGATGCGCTTTGCATTGTGTTGATTTTAACATTCTTAATAATTTGTAATGTAACTACTAATTATACTGTGAACACTTATAAGAATATTTCTGTGGAAAATTCCTGAGTTCAGAAATATTTCTTTTGATAAAAATAATTTTTTATTAACTTATTATTGGATTTGTGCATTCAATCTATTACAGGATGCGATCAGAGGATCTAGTACCTCTAACATAAATTTTTTAAGATCTGAAGTGGACAGACTGGCGCAGATAATTTTACTTTATGCTGATGATTTGTAATTGTAATTCTCCCATCATTCCATAACAGAAAATTAAATTGTTCATAAGAAATAAGCCAATTAATCTAAAATTAAATTAACATGCCTTTTTTTATTATAAAATAAGATAAAAAAACTTATACAATAAAATGTGTTCACTAAGTTTTAAGCTAAATGCATCTGATCTGTATTTTTTTTTTAATTTGAAAATGATATCATAATTTTATAATTTAACAAAATATTACATATACTCAAAATATAATAGATTATCTTAAAAAATGATTAATAGAGATTCTAACTTGATGAAATTCATATCAAACTGCTTTGTTGACTCTGAATAATTTTCACTGTGTGTACAAAGTCAAACTTACTGTATAAATCAAGTATAATATTCACGTGTGTATAAAATTAAAAACAGGTTTCACACGGCAGTGTAACTAGGATTTGGATAATGAATATTAAATCCAATAATAAGCATTTCACTTTTCCACTTTGTGAAATATATGTATGTAATATAGTAAGTTTATATGTTTTAAAAATATTTATATACACTCTTTTTCATATTACAGAGTATGTCTAACAGTATGATAATTTATTATACAAAACGTATTTAACGGTGCAAATCAAAATAAAGAGTGAACTTGCAGCAACTGCTGTTGACGCAAATTGGGGTGGAAGGCATAGAACATAATAACTAACATGGTCATTAACTAATTATGCTATAACACCATTTAAATTTAAAATTCCATCTAAAAAAATTGTTTTATTCTATGATAATGATACTCACGGAGCATAGCCATGCAGAGCTGTTGCAGCTGCTGCAGCAGTTAAAGGAGATGCATGTCGAGCAAACGCTGTAGCTAAAGCACCACGTGCTCGTCCTCTCTGGATAGCTACACCCCGAAGAGCAGCCACTGAAATTAAAATATACAACAATGTAGTACTGCAAGGGAGCATATAATATTCTAATTTAGACTTATCAGTTTTTTAGATATTTTCAAAATTTTTTATTTACTCCTTCTCAGCAGGGCCAATTAAGCCATCCTGGGCAAAATCCTATTTTCAGGTACACTGAGGAACCTATTTTATTCCATTTTGTAAGAGAAATATAGATTATGAGGAAGTATAGAATGATATGGGGGTAGCCTAAAAATTTGAACTTTAAGATTCCCACGATTGTGGAACAAGGCAGTAATCAGGCCTTGTCTCGGAGAAGATGTTTATTCATTCCCACAATGAATAAACATGAAATGCAATAATTAATAAGATGTCAAAATATCTGATACATCAAACAAATATTTCAGAAATTAATTACTGCCATATTCAAGTGAATCATTTAAACATTATAAATATTCAAAAAAAAAAATAAAACTAACACTTTCTCACAACTTTTGCTTTTAATAATTATATTTGACCATTGAGCTGTGTAGCAGTTATGAATGGCAACATCCTGTGTAACTGTAAATCAGAATACAACTAATCCATCTGTAGCAGATACTGATGAAACCAAAGCTTTTGTCAATTATCAAAGAATATGCTCACTAGCTTCTTATTTTGAGAATAAAGCAAGGTAATGTTAATGGTAAACAACCACTAACAGAAGTTTGACAAAATTAATATTATTCGGTTGACTACTGAATTAGAGAAACCTTAAACTATTAAGAAACTTTTATTGGAAACTTGCATCTAGGATGCAAGAAACATTAAAGACAATAATTTTCTTCCAGACATGAAATGAGAAAATGCTGGGAAAATTTTAATGAATATATTTTATCAGATTTACTACAAAATTACAGCTATATATATATTTTTTTTGTTTGTTTACATATTAAAAAAAAATTTACCATTAGGTATTGGAGGTACTTTTTTTGTTTGCACTCTTGCAGTAGCATTATTTACCTGTGAAACAGTAAAGAGAGAATCAGAAACAATTAATATTTTTTGTTTCCTATTATTACAGCAAATGTTTCATCAAGTGTTTTAAGATATGAACTTCATAAATTTATGTTAAATATTTTAATAACCATTTTTTTAAAAATAAAATGAAACATTTTAAATCAAACGGCAACACTAGCTAAACAAATAATACAGGCTGCACTAATGTCTATGATAATTATCAACATAAAATTTTAATTCTTCTTCAATGAATTTTAAATAGAATTTTACAGCATTTTGTGCAAACTTAAAACAGTGTAGCATTTGCTGTAATATACAACTTCAAAACTTGGTGAAACCAAAGTGGTGAAAAAAATATTTTCTTTCATAATTTGTCATTTACTTTATTTTTTTTAAAAAAGCACTTCACAGTTGTTCCCAACTCATTTATCATGTATACTCAGTATTTATTATGTATAATCAGTATCCTGATTACTGATTGTTTCCATTAATATTTCATATAAATAAATGACCATTCACATCATATTTGCTCTAGCACCTTTTACGCTAAAAGGAACTTATTTAATTTTTTAGCGGTATTGTCTATAAATTACATTTAGAAAAATATCTTAACTTAACCAACTTTCAATTTATAAAAAATTACAGTGGCAGCACCTCTTTCAGAAACTACTTGCATTATGTACAAGCACAAATAATTCATAAAAATGTTTATAGTCACATTCTAACTGCCCTAAATAGTCATTCATGAGTTTTTCAACTGCTCATTAGATTACACTTCTTCCATGCTTCCAGAGATTGCGTTATTAGCCATAAAAAAAGGAATTCTTGCTCATAAAAAGATGAACAATCTTAATTTATCAAAATAGCTTAATGTTTACTATGTACTTCGTTTACAAGTACTGCCAGTCTTTAATTGCTTAATAGCAATACCTTTCAAACTCCTAAATTTCTTTAATACATATTTTTAGATAACATATTTAGTCTTAAATGTTAATGATATCAGAGTTGGGAACCATCATCTTAAATTATAAAAAAAAATTATTAAGCATTACAGAACTTATAACATTATTTTTAGTAAAATGGCAAAATATCTTGATATTAATCAGATATTTTCTGAAAACATTTTTTTCTTCACTATTAATATGAAAATATAGTTAATAGGCAGAATATTAGATATTTTTATACAAAGAGCAAAATAAATATCTGAAATTTTATCCGTGATTAACTTTAAAAAAATACTGAAAATAAATTCTGCATGTATGACTACCTTTCTTAAAACAAAAATGTTTTTAAGTTTTCTTTTAAATTAAGAAGTAGAATAAAATTTGTACCAAATAAAACTAATCAAGCTTATGAATTTTTCAAAAACTAAATCACAATACAGTAGAACTCGGTTTCATAAACAATAACCTAAATATCATAAACTAGATATGTTGTGCATGTGCTATTTTTTACACACAGACACATTATATAATTATGATGTCAAGAGTAAACAGTATGTTACTAAGCATATTTCTCACACATTGCTAAAGTAAATAAAACACAATGTAAATCTTTAGAAAAGTACTTTTTCCCCCTTTTTCTGTCATGGAGTATAACACTTGGTACAAACTCTAATTACAAATCAAATGTCAGAGAACCATATAGAATTATTAGTTTAACATCTGTTAAGATATCAATAATATAAATAAAAAATTGAAGTTTAGTTAGGAGTGATAATGCAAGTAATATACAAAGAAGAGTGCTACATAGTTCTGGGGAATTTGAAAAATACAAATTTTCTCTATGTCTCCTGTCCTACTGGACATAAATATTTGAGAAGAAATACTCTGCATAATTTGTGTGTGTGGTGGGATGAAACTAGAACTAGAGCATCCAAAAGTTGAAGACAAACTGCTATAAAGCAAATGTTTGAAAACTAAAGGAAAAAATTTTTGTATCCCTTTTATTCTTATTTTTTCTCTTTTTGCATAAAATTAAAATATATTCATTGCATAGTTCTGCATAAAAATGTCCAGAAAAAGTTAATTGCTTTTATGGCCTACTTTTAATTTAAATCTGCTTATGTTTCATTTATGACCTGTAATCCAAAAAACTCTTAAAATCTGCACAACTTCAGGTACCAAAGTATGTGGATTTTTGGTTTTCTATTGTATATCTGATATGTTCCTACATATTAAATAAATAAAACTTAAATCACTATATGCATATTAAAATATTACGGTTAATTTCATACTAAGAAAAATTATTATTGACAAATGTAATAAGTCAATTTTACAGTAAACTAGGCATTACAATTAAATATAGTATGATCAAAATCAGAAAGTGTTTCCTAATAAAAAAATGATCCAGTTGTTATTTTAAATTAAGTTAAGTGTATTTTAAATCATTTAAGTGTATTTTAAATCATTACTACTTTAGTTCTGAAGAAATATTTCATTTCTTTTAAAATGAAGTCAGGTATTATTTACTTATATAAACTGAAATTTCAATGTTCTGTTAATGCTATATGTGATTCCTTTAGTTAATTTGTTTTCATATTTTTACAATATTAATTATTTGTAGAAAGAAATTTTATTAAAAATGCAACATAAAACTTGGTGGCCTTTGCCATAATGAGATGAGTACTAAGAAACCTTCTAATGACAAAGGTACCAGATTGAAGAATACCCAAAAGTTCATGATAATCTTGAACATAAAATTTTTGGAAATTTTTTAGAATTAGTAAGTTTTAAATCACTTATGTTCTGGTTGCATTATTTTCAAACTTTTCTAACCCTTTTAGCACCACATAACACTCCCAGAATGCTATTTGCTTTTACTTTTTTTATTTATTCCTGAAAGAGTTTTGCAATAAAAAATAAAATTTTGACTTTAAATCTTAAAGGAAAAATAATGAACAAAAGTCAATGTATAATGAATTGTCAGACATTTATGGACACGGAGAAAAATTTTTACTGAAAGCATAACAAAAATGAATAACATATCAAACAAAAAATTAATGTGATGTATGGATTCAGTAAAAATTTTGCATTATCCTTAATTTATGGACATGAGTGTAAATAATTTTTTGAAATAAAATTTAACATTCTTCTACATTAAATTTTTAAATAATTCTTCCCTCTACAATTGCACTGATTTAAACAGATTTTAGAAACATTGCACAAAATTTTAAATGCAATTTAAATACTTTTCTTTTTTTTCTCAATTTATATCGAGGAAAAAAATTAACTTTGAGAACCAATAGTTTTGACTTTTCATTTCATCCACTGCATATCATTTGGAAATACAGACATAATTTTAAAAATTTAATTCTTAAATTTGCTTTTCATTAAATGCACATTTTAAATTTACTTGAATTAAAATCTATTACTAAGTACATAAGATTTGTTGGATTTCAGAACCTTTTAGGATTCATCCTGTCCTAATTGCAGAAACTTTACCTTCAATGATTGCATTAAACAGCATCAGGTACCATATGCAAATTATTTAAAATATGACGAACTAATGAAACTTCTACTATAATTAACAAAGTGAGAATTTTTCACAGACACATATTCAAAGACCTGAGCTAGCAGAATGGAAACTTCCTGTTCCAAAACTGGTTAAGAGACATGTTCTTCATTTCATCGAACTGACTTTTACCCAAAATAACCATATTGTCAAAGAAGACGAAAAATATTCAGAACTTGAAAATTTTGGGTATAGAATTTTATCCTTTTTTCTGCACACTCCAAAAAAATCAACAAACTTAACATTCAAAGTTCATGGATAAGGTACAGATTTAAAGGAAAATTTTCCAAATATAAAAGCATTTTACCAATAAACAGTATCCTAAAAAATAAACTAAATGAAAGGATGCACAACATCTCCACCGCCCTCTGAAAAAGAATCCATGGAAATAAAAAAGGTGAGCTACGAAACCTAAAATGATAAAAAATTATATCTCAGTTTACAAGAATAGTAGTTTCATCTAAGGTTTAAAAGTTTCAAATATTTTGAGCTTTCAATGAAACTTTGCTGTTTCATTTTTGGTAGTGAGCAATGAAATTGAACAAACTGCCAGATGTAACATGAAAATTTAAAAAGATATACAAAAAGATGACTACAGTTCAATAAAAACAGAATTAATATAATTTCCATGTAATTTGTTGTTCATGAAAATCATCCCAACTGTAATATCTGAATGACTTTTGCTTTCAAGAATAAATTACTCATTTTTAATTTAAAGTGTTTTTCTAATAATGACATTCTTGAATGAAAATTCACTATATACTAATAAAAATAGGAAGTTCAATATGGGGGGGAAGTATATTTAAGTATTCCCTGAAATTCAGAAACAAACAGATACAGTACAAAGTCCGAAATCCAGATGTCCATTATCCGGAATGATCTAAAATCTGGACCTAAAAACCACAAACATTTTTTTGTATGCTTTACACCTGCACATTTCCTTTTTTCTTCCATAATAAAACATGTGGGGATTTTCACTTAAAAATTCCAATTCTTGATTTCACTTTGGCACTAAATAAAATACCTCATCATTAAAAAACAATTATGTAAGCATAAATTTGTGAGATTAATAATTTGGCTCCGTAGCTGACTGTCTGCTTGGCATACATCTCAAACCGAAACATTTGTGTGTTTTATATCTCTGATGCCGACCTGGCGAGTCATTATTTATTATATATTGCCTTCATCACTGCATGTTTATCACTACATGACAGCTTCAATAATAACTCATGCAGTGATGTCTAATTTTTTTTATATTAGTAATTGAATAACAACAGTATGGCAACTTTTTATGTTAACATTATGCTTGACAATGATGATAGATTTTTAAATACTCTAAGAAATGTTACAAGGAAAAATTCAACAAAAATTTCTTTCCATATGATAAAAATAGATTTTATTAATGAAATTCATAGGCCAAAAGATTACATTTAGTGCTATTTTAATTAAGAATAACTGATATGTTATTCACCATAAACTCAGAAGCGCTG